TTAGTTCTATTTAGCTCAAACTAGGACACTGAGGTCTTACAGTTTTCCTCTCCCATAAGAATGTGAGCACATGGCATTTCTACCACGCTTAGGGGGAGAAATGCGTCACCTGCCTTTGAAAGGCTGCCTTTTCTGCATTAAAAGACAGTAGGAGCTGAACTGCATACGGCATTATTTTCCAAGCATAAAAATGGAGCATTGTCACTGTTGGAAATAGAAAGGCAGCACAGGAGGCCATGTCCAGCTGGGATGAAAACCCAAGACATTGGTAACCCCAAACATTTGTATTAGGATTTGCATTGCTCTGAATGGCAATTTGCAAGGCAGAGACAAAGCTGTTCCCAGTTGTCAGGATGATGTCTAAGGGAAGCAGAACTGTGAGCAACACAAGAGGTCAGAGAAGATTTCTGTTGTCTCTCTGAAAATACATGCAGTATTAGAGGAGTAAGAGAAACTGGAAGAACCGCTTAAAAATTGGAGTGAGTTTCCTTCAGAGGAAGAGCCTGGGCAGGTATGTAAATAAATAAAACTCAAGGCAAAGAACATCCATGGACTGTGTAGGCTGGAAAGGGGTGCAGAAGAATGTTCAAAGGCTTTGTTACAGAGTTCCTGTCATTTACAATACTTAAAAAAATAATTAAAAAAAAAATGTTTTCCTCCTGGCTGCAAAGAGACCAAAGGATGCAAAGCAAGGTACTGCTGTTGTGTTTGGCCAGTAGCCAGCCAGACATGTAAGACCAATGGACATATAATGAGTTTGTATGCATCTCAGTGGTAAGTTTACTTCAAAGCTGAGTTATGGAAACAAAGATTCAAGCAGAGATTTTTTTTTCTATTTTCTTGATTTATTTTTTTTTTCCCTCAAGGTTGGTTATTCTTTGTATCAGTGAGAATAACTGGATTAATAGCCCTGGAGCATAAAATCATGAGTTCTGTTACACAGTATGGACAGGAGCTGTATGAGCTTTCTCTACACAATATGCTACTGTGCTTCCATCTCAATTTACAGAAACCATGCCTGGGGATACAGAGAAGCTCAGGATGTGTACCTCCTTTTTCCATAGACTCTGTGAGGTTGCCAGAACTAGTTGTGAAACTGTGTTGAGGTGAGGCCACCTTTTCTAAGCTTTGGACTATGATCAGTAGCTCATTTTGACTTTGGTCTTCAAACAGCCTTGAGAAAGAGAGCAAGCTGTATGCACTGCAAATACAAAAATCTCAAGTTGTCAGCCAGAGGATATTTTTTCTGAGGTAACTGGTAGTAAGTTAACTCCTGTAAGTCATTGTGGCACAATTGCATAGTGCAGAGGTGCTCTTACTCCTTAAATGTGCTGGATTTATAGTGGGAGCTGTATCATCACCATTGAAATGTTGTTTCACTTTGGAGACTTCTGTCATTGTTTCCAGCATAGCTAGGCTGCTGCTGGTACCCACACCTCTTTGTTTAGGGCTACTCACTGCATTGCACTGTAAGTGTAGCTGTGCCCTCATTCTCTTCCCTTAGCAATACATCCTCAAGAATCATGTTACCAGACTGGAAATAACTTGCTTAGCCCCATAAAACACAGTTAATTTTTTCTCAGACAAGGTTTTTGACAGGCCAAATGACTGAAGATATTCAATAGGGACTGCTGGGGAAAAGAGGCTAACAGGTTTGGTTTCTACTTGTACTCACCAGCATGAATATGGGCATCTCCGGCTATAGCGGCAGCAGTAAAATTGCCATTCACGGTCAAGCACAGATGGAAAATACTGACTCTGGAAACCAGCCACCAGCCCATTGTTTGAGCAGGTTTGATACCTAAGAAAGAAGAGAATGCATAAGGAAAACATACTAAGTTCCCTGATAGTTTCAAATATTTCTGAAAACAACATTAAAAATATTCATTCAAGGTAGAAGCTGAGGGCTTGGCTTTATACTGAGAAGCACTATATGCACTTGCTATGTATTGAGTAACCATTTTATATATGAAAGCATCAGTAGTTAACTAATAATGTCTTCACATTTGTGTTACACTTAAAACTATTTAAACTGTTTTTAAGTATTTAATCATTAATGACAAGCTATGCCACCTGAACACTCACAAGTCTATGGGGCCAGATGGGATCCACCTGAGAGTACTGAGAGAGCTGGCAGAAAAGCTTGCCAAACCACTCTCCACCATTTATCAGCAGTCCTGGCTAACCGGGGAGGTCCCAGATGACTGGAAGCTTGCCAGTGTGACACCCATCTACAAGAAAGGCCAGAAGGAGGATCTGGGGAACTACAGGCCTGTCAGCCTGACCTTGGTACCAGGGAAGATTATGGAGCGGTTCATCTTGAGTGCGCTCACACAGCACAAGAAGGACAAACAGAGGATCAGGCCAAGCTAGCATAGGTTCATGAAAGACAGGTCCTGCCTGACCAACCTGATCTCCTTCTGTGATCAGGTGACCTGCCTCGTGGATGAAGGAAAGGCTGTGGATGTTGTCTATCTGGACTTTAGTAAAGCCTTCAATGCAGTCTCCCACAGCATTCTCCTAGAGGAGCTGGTGGCTCTTTGCTTTGCTGGGTTAAAAACTGGCTGAACAGCCGAGCACAGAGAGCTGGGGCGAACGGAACTAAATCCAGTTGGCAACCAGTCACAAGTGGTGTTCCCCAGGGCTTGGTTTTGAGGCCAGTCCTGTTTAACATCTTTATCAATGATCTGGATGAGGGGACTGAGTGCTCCCTCAGTAAGTTTGCAGATGACACCAAATTGGGAGGGAGTGTTGATCTGCCTGAGGGTAAGAAGGCTCTGCAGAGGGACCTGGACAGGTTGGATCAATGGGCTGGGGCCAATTGCATGAAGTTCAACAAGGCCAAGTGCCAGTTCCTGCACTTGGGTCACAACAACCCCATGCAGTGCTACAGGCTTGGGGAGGAGTGGCTGGAGAGCCTGGAGGAGAAGGACCTGGGGGTATTGGTTGACAGCTGACTGAACATGAGCCAGCAGTGTGCCCTTGCGGCCAAGAAGGCCAACAGCATCCTGGCCTGCATCAGAAATAGTGTGGCCAGCAGGACTAGAGAATTGATCATCCCACTGTACTTGGCACTGGTGAGGCTGCACCTTGAATACTGTGCTCAGTTTTGGGCCTCTCACTACAAGAGGGACATTGAGGCACTGGAGCATGACCAGAGAAGGGCAATGAAGCTGGTGAGGGTCTGAAGCACAAGTCTTATGAGGAGCGGCTGAGGGAGCTGGGGTTGTTTAGTCTGGAGAAGAGGAGACCGAGGGGAGACCTTGTCTCTCTCTACAACTACCTGAAAGGAGGCTGTGGTGAGAGTCGGTCTCTTCTTCCATGTAACTAGTGACAGAAGAAGAGGAAATGGCCTCAAGTTGCACCAGGGGAGATATAGATTGGATATTAGGAAAAAAATCTTTACTGAAAGAGTGGTCAAACACTGGAGCAGGCTGCCCAGGGAGGTGGTGGAGTCACGATCCCTGGAGGTGTTCAAGAAGCTTGTGGATGTGGCACTTCAGGACATGGTTTAGTGGTCATGGTGGTGTTGGGTCGACGGTTGGGCTTGATGATCTTAGAGGTCTCTTCCAACCTTAATGATTCTGTGATTCCAGTATCCTAAACAGGCAAGACAATTGTTCTGGTGATGACATTCTCAACTGTTTACAAATTATGAGACTGACTTCAAAATAGTCCATTAATACTTTTATCTTTGTTGGTATTTGAGCATTTGGGATTCACTGGACTTATTTTTCTTGACTACTTCTCCACAAAAAAAAAGCCTTAGAAACTCCTTTATAAAAGAAGTTCAGCAATTTCTTTAAAAAAAAAAATCTATCTCAATTACCTGTCTCCAGGAGAAGGCACTCTTAATTAAAAACATTATAGGCTTGTGGTGAAATCATGATTTGATAATGATTACATGAGGAAAACTGAGACTCAGATGTTATGAAATTATGACTCACATAGATTTTATGATGGGATTTTCAAAAGAAAAATCTCCTGCTTCATGCTTTCTGTGTACTCTGTAATTCTGACATACATATATATCACTGTCTCCAAGCACGCAGATATATGCTTCTCTTTCTGCACACCCTACAAGCATCTGGACACTGATACCCAAAGTAATTCAAGTGATAATCAGTTTGAATAACTTGCTTCTTTGAGACTAAAGACAAGGAGAGTGTGAAAACAGATAGCTAACAGATTAACTCAACTGTGGAATGCTCGTTCTCTCAGGCACCCTCCTAACCTCATTGTTTTCCTATTGGAGAAATGACAATTTTCTTCCATTCTTCCATTTCCTTTTTTCTTCTTTTTACTTCATCAAGGAAAACTGGCAGCCTAGAGCTGTAGCAAACTTACCTTGCAATACCATAAAATCAAATACATTGATGTATTCAAAAGACAATTTCAGAACTATGTTTAACAAATACCAAAAATTTCCCATACTTTCATTCATAGTTTATTTTATTGAGTCTGGAGTTCCCAGAAGAGAAAACACTTTGTTAGCAGACTTTGGTGTTTGGAAAGTCATTCACTTGTACATACAGGTGTTAGTGCAAGCAAAGTGTTAGGCTCAAGTATTTGTATACAGAAGCTGAAAAACTGATGTATTTTGACCAGTGCAGGGATGAATTTTTCTGCCTAACTTTCAGCTTCCTCCTTGGAAGCAGGGGTCTCTTCCATACGTCCCTTCCACTGATTGCTGTTGTTCAGACAAGATTATTTACATTTGTTTGTATCTCTGCATCTCTCACATTGCTGGGGCCACACGTACTTGGTGTGCTTTGTGAGACTCTTCCGAGGACCTTCGGAGTTAAGTAATGATGGGGACTCTGAGTTACTATGATATCACACCAATTAAGGCAGCTTGGCTTTCACTCAGAGCATTTGAGCAGGACTTTGATAGGAAGTTGCTCTGGTTTTTGGCACATAAGCCATGGGAACATATGGCTAAGTCTCTGTGTAAACATATTGGATAACAGCAGATGATTGGTGTTATCCTGAAGGAAGAAAGGTTGATACACAGAAATACAAGGAATCATTGTACCTGTTGCAAGATGAGCACTTTTCTGCATTAATCTGTGTAAAGTAGAACCAAACCTGTGTCTCTCCATCTTATTCTGGCTCCCCCTTCCCAGTTACATACATTTCCACAGCTCAAGTCCTGGGAAATATTCTAGCTCTATTGCCTAGGCGAATTAAATGGGATCATTTAGTTCCTCCTGCTCCTTTACACTTTCTCTCTGAGGCTCAGCATTTTCTTGCAATTTCCCATCCCTAGCGATCAGCACCTGGTATTCTTGCTCATACTTGTCTTTGCGGGAGATCTTTCCTTCTTCTTTTCTCTCCACACCTGCTCACATTCAGTCTGGAAAGTCCTGTCCTCTTTCCTGCTCTCTTTCCCCTACAGCAGTTTTTATTTTCTTGACACCTATAGTAATACACTCCAGTTTGTATGGTAAGATTCATCTTGAGGGAGACATCAGTGGTGGACCCTTCTCTCTATAGTGGATTGAAAAAAAATCTAGCTAACATAACACAGTGATGTTTACATGCATACATATTTGGGCATGGAACTTTAGTAAGGTTTGGTTATTTTTTATCCTGATTCTATCTTCTCATTAAAAGTTTGTTTTAAAAAATATATCCATATGTGTGTGTATATATATATATATATATTTATATTTGGAGTTGCCTTTAAAAATTCTTAAATGGAGATTATAACTGGACATAACTCCTGTCTTATAATTAAATTGCCATTCTATTTTAAAAACATTCAGAGTAAAATTTGGAATATACTTCTAAGCTGATGTTCACTTCATCCTCTCTATTTCTGTCTCATATGCACAAAGTCCTGCAATGTGTTATTCCAGCTCAATATTGGCTTCAGAAAAAAAAAAAGATAATAGTGGCATTGAAGTACTTTTTTTTAGCTTTGAGATAACACAAGCTTTTTTCCTGTTATCTTTCTATTTTTCCAGTCAAATCCAGATATTCCTCAAAAAATGAATAGATTCACTTTGACATTGGAGTGCTTCTTTGTGAGCTCATATAAAACCTCTTCTTCTCTTTCCTTTTCTCAGTTGGCCTCTTTCCTACAAGCAGAAAGTAATTCTTCAAGGGAAACAAACAACCCCTTCCCACACACCTTTTTAGTCAGATGCTTTATACACTAACTAATCTAAAACCAACACTTAATATGTGAGGATTTCTTTCTTCTCTGTTGAATTCACTACTCCTGTCACAGTAAATTCTGCAAACCAGTATAAGGAATAAAACCTTTGATTTATGGCCAAGTAAAAAAAAAATACCTTTTACACTAGACCCTCCGTAGCAATTTTGTTACAGAGGATAATTCAGTATTCAGAATTAATGTCACTGGGTTCTCCTTATGAAATCCTGACATTGCTAGGAGGAAAGCAAGATACCTCTTAGGGGAATGCAGAAGAGTATGAGAAACCAGCTGTGTCTGCATGGGATTAAACTTGGCAGTGGCTGGTTTGGTCTGTTTTTCTAGTTGGCTCAAGTTGTGATGCATGAAAAGTTGCCTTTTGGATCTGGTAATAGGGGAAGAGGAGGTGAGCTGTCTGGTAGATGGAGGAGTGGGAAGATTAGTGGTGGTAAGGGTCAGGTGCTGTTGAATGGGGAGTTGCCCTTTCCTCATTACATCTGTTGGAAATGACTGAAGTGTTTCATAGGAAGTGAGTAAACTATACAGCCTTACTTTGGGTGGAGTTTTGTGTAGTAACAGGGATACACTAGCTGAGACTTTCCGTGTCCTGCTGCAATTGCTGTGGAAAGCCTCTCTTTTGC